AGTTGACGTTTCCGATTAGTTTCAGAGAGCCAACTGTTATAAGACGATAACAATGGTTATCATTGCGGATATACAATATATTTGATATCAAATAAATACGTGTCTGTTACTACACAAACTTGTTTCAATTGTCATGTTCATCACATGAAATGTAGATATATAATAGAACCGTAACCTTATTGCGTAACATACATGATGACCGACATGTACCTGCAATATGCCAGGTACGCAATGTCGGTTTACAACAGATATTTAACTAAAATATATTATATGCTTATCGAATATAACCTAATCAATTCATATCAGTTTTATGAGCTGGATCAAGTTTTCAAGTGCATGCTTTATTACTATTTATTTTTAATATAATCGTAAAAGCTATTGCTTATGTTAAATAAATATGATAACAAAATAAGTTACTAACTTTTAATTATATTGTAAATAATAAAATACTCAGATTAATTATTGAAGGAAAAATCTTGGATAAGATATTAGTCGGAAAACGTCAAAACTCTTGACAAAAATACAGTGATTTGATTGTATCAGCAGACATCTTTCGTGCAGCAGTCTCCAAAATTAGTATTATAGTAATAAGGATGATTATAAGATCACCAGTCTTTATTGTAAAAAGGTGTACAAAGAAGAAGCAAATATTCAGTATTACGTCTTTTCAGAACTTATATCAGCCAATAACTTGTCCCTTTGCTCTTGAATCTTCGTACATATTACAAATTCGACTACATGTACTTGTCTCTTTTATTCGTCCACGTTGTCATCGCGTGTACCAAAAATTGCAAAATCGGATAACATACAGATTAATTTAAAAGGCACACGCACTCATGCGTGCATCGGAACGCCCGTAGCGAAAACGAGCGATTTCGAAGTGCACGGCAATGCTCGCCCTGTGAGGGCGTAAATTAATTCTTCGCGAAAATTGGCTCTCGTAACCGGCTGGCGCAATGACGCGCAGGATACGCCGCCGCCGCTGGTTTGTCATGATGGTCGGCCGTCGGAATAAATGACTGTACCCGACGTACGAAAGTAAATTATAAAATATGCGCTGTAAGCGCGCCGCTCGTGAGT